AAAAAAAAAAAAAAAGGGAGAGTGTTAGGGGTGACAGAACAGCAGCTAGTAAATGTAGATGGAAGGATAGAATTTCGATTTAGATTGCAGGTATCAATGTAAGAACTTAGACGAAGATCATCAGTGGGTGGTAATTTGTTGGTCAACGGGAAGGTTTCAGGATTTCAAAGAAACATGCCACAGCTGAACTTAGGCTGTTGATCACATTGCGAGAGCATATTTTTATGATGACGGATGTCAAAATTAACCAAGTGATCAAATTTAGCATCACCAGTAATGGAACCAACCGAAGTGATGTGATGTGTGGCCAGTAGAACACGTCACCCACCCACTATGCTCGCGAAAGCCTTTAACCTGTATCTGCAGGAACAATTAGATGAGTCCAGAATGTTGGACAGTCTGTACAACTGGCCACATGTCTTCAAAAATGTCAAATAACAACACCAACAAAACCCCAGCGGGTCTACTGAAGGTAACAGGACACTTAAGAGATACTTCATTGTTAATGTAATTTGTGAACACTGATTGGAATCTGAATTGGCAACGGGGGGTGGTGGGGGGTCGGGTAGCCATGAAGATGTTGGGATGACTGGAGAAATTTAAAAAAGCATAGTATTATTGAACGTTATATTGATGATGGGTTTCTCTGGTGTGGTAATGGAATTTTGATTATATAGGAGAATATCCTATTCTTAGGAGAAATGTGATAAAAGACTAGCCTGCAATTTCCTTTCAAATGGTGACGCAAGTAAATACATAGCCCAACGTGCGGGCTCGAACTCACGAACCGTGAGATCATGACCTGAATAGAAGTCAGACACTTAACCAACTGAGCCACCCAGGCGCCCCTCTTTTTTAATTTAATCAATGGGATCTTTTCTGGAATGAAAATTTTAAATTTTCATGAAGTCTAGTTTATCAAGTATTCTATGGACCGTATCTTTGGTGTTATATATAAGAAATTGTTGTCCAACGTAAGGTCATGAAGCTTTTGTTCTCTTTTATTTATAATTAAAAAAAAATTTTTTAATGGTTTACTTTTTCTTGAGAGACAGAGTATGAGCAGGGGAGGAGCAGAAAGAGAGAGGGGGACAGTGCAAGTGGGGGAAGAGCAGAGAGAGAGGGAGACACGGAATCCGAAGCAGGCTGCAGGCTCCAAGCTGTCAGCACAGAGCCCGACGTGGGGCTTGAACTCATGAACGGTGAACCTGAGCCAAAGTCGGACACCTAACCGACTGAGCCATCCAGGCGCCCCACTTTTCAGTGTTTTATAGTTTACTTCTTACACTTAGCCCCATGATACATTTTGAGTGTGTAAATCTGTGGTCCAAATCCATGATTTTGCTTGTCCATAACCAGCTATCCCAGCACAATCTTTTGGGGATTTTCCTCAATATATTGCCTTCACATCTTTGTTGAAAATCAGTTGACTGTAAACACGAGACTTCTGTCTGGACTCAGTGTTGTCTGTGGTTGTACCAGGACCGCGCTGTCATGTTACCGTAGCTTTAGATTATGTTTTGAAAAAAGGAAGAGTAACTCTGCCCAGTTTGCTTATTTAAAAAATCATTTTGACTACTCCAGGTTTTTTTTTTTTCTGTATGAACTTTAGGGTCAGTTGCCAATTTTTGCAAAAGAGCCTGCTGAAATTTTAGTACTGATTGCACTTATCGGCCAGTCTGGGGAGAATTAACATCTTAACCCCATTGAGTTTTCCAACCTGTGAACACAGACCGTCTTTCCAGTTTAGATCCTCTTTAATTTCCCTCGGTAATAATTTATAGTTTTTGGTGTATAATTTTGCAGTTCCTCTGTTAAAATTGCCAATACTTTGTATTCCTGCTCTTTGAATTTACTTTCTTAATTGCAGTTTTATTTCATTGCTATAACAGAGACATAGAATTGGTTTTTGTGTATTCATCTTGTATTGTGGCCTTGCTGAACTTATATTTAGATGTTTTGAGCCTAAGATTTTCTCTCTACAGGGCTGTCATCTGAAAATTAAGACAGTCTTACTTCTTACTTTCGAATCTGGACTCAATGCAATTGAGTGATTAAGAGAAGCCCTAAGAGACTATGCGGCAGGCTTAGCAAGGAGCCAGTAGAAATCGGGGCATGAGGATTGAGTCTGTAGTAGAAGGATCTTAAGAAAAAGAGGACTGGACGGGGTAGATTATGATAGAGGATTTGGAAAAAAATTGAGTCTACATTTAGCAAATGACAGAAGGAACGATGGTAACTCTTCAGTAGGACCTGTGGTGGGACAGCCATACAACTTATTGTTCCACGTTCGTCAATGAAGATGAGGCCTATCGATGATGGGTTTAGCCACCCAGACATGGAAGCCGGGTTCCCAGCCTCATTTGCAGCTAAGGCTCGGGTCTGCCAGTGGGGTGCAGACGCCCCCTGGGAGGAGAGGAGCTGCGGCCATCTCTGGGTTGCTGCTCTCAGTGGCAGAGGCCGGGGGCTGGGGGTTTACAGCAGCGTGGGGCTCTGGACATTGGATGTGTGAGTTCAAGCCCCACGCTGGGTGTAGAGTTTACTAAGAATAAAATCTTTAGGGGCGCCTGGGTGGCTCAGTCGGTTAAACGTCCAGCTTCAGCTCAGGTCATGATCTTGCGCTTCGTGGGTTTGAGTCCCATGTTGGGCTCTGTGCTGACAACGCAGAACCTGTCTGGGATTTTCTCTCTCGATGAACTTAAAA